GTCCGCCGTCATTTGAGGGTCCGCCGTCATTTGAGGGTCCACCGTAATGTGGATTTCCACCATGGTGCGGAGGTGGGTCGTGGAACGGGTATTCGTCTTGATATGGAGGTTGGCCGTAGTGTGGAGGTCGGTTGTAATAAGGGAAGTCATTGGGACTTGGTCCGTTTTGGTTAGGTCTTGGTTTCCATCTTTCAGATTCATAACTATCAATATCACTTTCTCGAGAGAATTTGTTTTTGGATTTTTGACCGGAGGAACGGTAACCGTCTTGTGGCGAGCGCATCTGGCCTAATCGCTCACTTCCAAACTGGTTCATCCCATTCCCACCCCGTTGCTGAAACTGCTTTCGCGCAGTTGCAACAACTAAAAAAGCAGCTATTATTAGAAGAAACTTTGCCATCTGTGCAAATTACTGCAGGGAAATCGAAGTACGATAGTAGAGCGACGACTATGTTAAATTTATATAGTACCAAAAGTGGTGCTGATCTTTTGGTATCAACCCACGTGTTTACGTTTCGAAAATGATTTCGACAATGATGCACTTTCTTTGGTTTGAAAAATTTATATTTTGGCTTGAGCTGCAGGTACGGAAGGGCGATGCAGTGTTGGACAGTGAAAATGAGGAAAATTTGCTATTGAGCCACACTATCGTGGTGTCAACGTTTCAATTAATAGTTTGCTAACGACTTTTTCCAAACTTTTTAGCTTACTGTAGTAATACAAAATCGGTGCCAAAAATTACCTGAGTATCTAATAATCTTTTACCAACGTTTACTTAGTATGCAAATGTGCCAAAGTATGGTTCTTTAGAAGAAGGTTCAAGTAAATAAAATGTGACACTGGCTAAATATGTAAGTAAGAAAAATATTTTTGACTTTTCTGGAGACTTATCACTTTTGAAAAACTGTACGGTGACATATTTTTCAAGAAATTCGGTCTGCTAGCAATAGAATTTCCTGTAGTGACACAGGAAAAATTTTTTTGTTAGTTTTACCGTATAAGTTGAGTTTGAGCTGAACTGAGTGTATTTATTAATCAGATTTTTAAAGGTTTACACAGAAGGGGAAATTTGTGATATGTAGACATCTTTCTGAAAGTTTTATATCACATTGTCAGTTCTAGTAAAAACATTCGCTGTAATCGGTATTTTCTAAACATTTCGCTTGTGCTCATCACTGTTTCGTAGCTTTAAATGCTTGTTAAGCACGATTTATTGCAGCATTTTAAGACTGTTAAAGACTTAAAATTAAAAACTACCTTACCGTAGTTGGCGGAAAAACTTTAGCTAAACTTTTGAAAACTAAAAAACAAAAGGTTCATTTTAGTTTTTTTTTTAAATATACACGTTTCCAGTATAGAAAGTGACTGCAAAAGGTTGTGGATAAGTAGAATTCACCGTTAGCGTAAACCCGCGTATGTTAGCGAAATATTTTAATTAAATTTTTGCAGTGGAAGAAAAATTTGTTTTGTTGTTTGGGAAGCAGAAATAAGAACAAGCTTGAGAAAAGTAGAAATTTCTTTTTTAGGTCAGTATAATTAAGAATTGTTTGGACGTTATACACTGTTCGGTAAACAACTTTTTTCTTTTAGAAATTGCATTAATAACCTGTGGATTTTATTTTTTGTACAAAACAGCTATAGAGTCTTTCATCCTGATTGCAATAGCTGAGAGAATTTAAAATTAACTTTAGTTAAAAAATTGTTTTTGGTTTAATTAAGTAATCAATTTGAGTTATAATGAATAACCTTAAAAAATCAAATATTGGATTTTTTTCGCAGATGTTGCAACAAGAGCTTTTTTTTTATACCGATGATTTACAGTTGACAGAAATAGTAACAGCGCAGGACAGTATTTATTTAGAACTTAACTGACTTGTTAATCGCTTTTTTTTGCAGTTTACATAAGCATTGCTGTTACACCTAGAAAAACGATCTCTTTTTATTACTGAAGTAAAAAAAGTAGTATGGATAACAAAGAAAATTTTTTTTTAAAAAGATTTGACATTTATAGTGAATGTTTGGTGAAATAAATTTATTTAACAAATATTTCTTCACTTTTCTTTAACGTTCTAACGTTTTAAAAGATGAAAACTATGACGATTACCAGCTGTACTTCTGTTCTGCTTTGCACCTTTTTTATAGCACGTTGTGCTTCAATAATTTAATTACTTTTTTTTTACTTCAAGTTTTAATTATTATATGGTCAAGAAAAAAAACTAAACCATTTGTTGTCGACCTGATGTCAGAAAATTTTTTAAACAGTATTTCTGTAAAACTTCCACCAGTTTCAAATTATTTGATAATGACGTCTTCGATTTCTTACTGTTGTTTCTGACAATAGTTCACGCTTATTTAA